TCGTTTACGTATGTGAAGGTGTCTGAAGCAGGCACAAGAGCTCGAGAGATGGAAGACAGAAGTTGGAAGGAGATGAAGAAGAGAAGTGAAATGGAAGCCATTTTTGGTTGGTGATTTGAGTTGAGAGCATGGAAGAAGAGGTATATATAGATGGAAATGAAAAGGAATTGTACCGTACAACCATGCAATGCAGTGTATGATAAAGTGGAATTATGTATAATATTTATGGGGGGCGGCACCAAGGAAACAATAAAATGAAGAGAACCTAGGAATCGAAACCGGATATAACACCTTTTTATCTCCACTTGCCAATTTAATTTTATAAATCTAAATATATTTTTTTCAAAAAATGTTTAACGACTTAATCGTTCAAAATATAATAATTTATTTGATTTTTTTCGGAATTTTTTTAATTATTTTACGACATTAACTAGTTGTATAGATCATAAAAATGTATCTAACAGGTTTTTAAAAGTCCAAGAAGTTATTTAAAATGTTTTGGAATGTCTAATGATTTATTTATTCCAAATAATTGTCCAAGAATTTAATCATTCCAAACACTAAAATGTATTGGGTTTTTTTAGACTTTTTCTGGTTATAATTAGGTAGAAAATTTTATTGTTTAAAAAATTATTTTACCATTTTTGCCATTTTTAGGGTATGAAAAGGAAGACAAAAGTAGAAAATGACAAAAAAAAAAATTGAAAAGACCTAAAGATCTTTAGGGAGTGTTTGATTCGCATAATTATTTTTGAAGAAATGAAATCTGTCAAATGAATTGGAATCTGGAGGAATTGAAATGAAATGTTATCAGGTTTGACCAAGTGTTTGGTTGGCAGTAATGAAATTTAATCTGTCTAATGAATTGAAATCTGTCTGTTTGGTTTACAACAGAATTGGAATGGAATGATGAAAAATGACAAAAATACCTTTTCTTTGATATTTTTTTAAAAAAATTAATTTTTTTAGTAGCATTGAACAACCACATAATCATAGATCAACGCCTTCTGTTTTGGGGGTTATAATCAACTGTTATATACAATATGAAAACAGTGGCATTGAACAACCACATACACTTTGTATTGTTAGACCATCACAAAGACTTTAAGAAACAGATCGTCGAACACAGTTTGAGAAACAGTAACATTATATACAATTATGAAAACAGTAGCAAACAGTTATGAAATAGCATGATGAAAAACAGTAGCAGGTAGCATAAATCAGAAATGAGAATACCCCTCAAAAAGTAGCAGATAGCATAAATGTAAAACAATAGCAAGTATCATAAATCGAAGAAAGAAGCACCATAAATCAGAAATGCATGTGAAGCAGAAAATCGAAGAAAGCAGTGTTCAATCGAGAAGAAAGCAAAAAATCGAAGAAAACAATGTTTAACCGAGAAGAAAATGTGGAAGCAGTTCAATCGAAAATCGAAGTGGAAGCAGTGTTCGATCGGAAGAGTGGGAGGAAGAAGAAGAATGGAGCGGCTAGGGTTAAAACAATGTAACGGGAGTATTTTTGTCATTTACATAAATTGGGATAAAATAGATTTTAATTCCATCACTTCCCTATGGAATAGTTAAATCCTTCAAACGACGGATTTCAATTCCATCTGTTCCATTCCAAAGATAACCAAACATTTGAATCAAATTTGGTGAACGAAATTGACCAATCCAATTCCATTACATTTCGAAAAAATAAATTAACCACATGGAATTCTTTATTTAAATAAAATGCAAAACAAGCAAACATAAATACGGAAAACAACTGCAATGTTTCTTTGACTTTAATTCGTCTTCGTTATTTTCAGTGGATGGGTGTTTTGATGTATCCTGAATGGGTCGAGTTCCCAACTCTCGTCAACGTTTTCAGCTCGTGAGCAATCCAGCATCTCGATCCATCTGTGTGATAGAAATACCCCAAGCACTTGCAATCCTTCGTGCATTTTCGCTCACAATCCCTCCGATTCGCCTCACCCGTCCCGGCACTGTATTTCACCGTGAAATGGTCCACCCCTTTAACCTCGTAGTACCGAAAACTACTCGCCTGGCATCCCGGCAACTTTGCAACGCAGTCGTTGCTCCATGCAAACACCCCTTTCGGTGACGGGCACCCAACGCATTGGCTGTTCTCGCAAAGCCCAAACTTCCCGCACCGTTCTGGCAACTGGCACTCGTCTTCATGTTCTGCCCACCTCTCGGCCACCCCTCTCTTGAACAAAGTGAATAACAGGCTCCATGCGTTTCCACGGACATTGGCACGATAAGTGTAGAGTCTTAGATTCCCATCGACGCCCAATCGGAGATACGATAAGTTGCTGTTGTATCTGATGATGTCAAGATTAAGGTCAGATACTTCATTAGAGTTAGATAGATGACACCTGAGTGAATGAAAATAGTCATCGTCGTATTCAGTTTCCACGATTTGCAACGTTGCCTTAACCAAATTCCCATTGGCTTTATTCACTTCGGTGAAGGTGGAGGACCAGTAAAGCATGGTCTTGTAATACAAAGCCATTCTTTTGGGCTCTAATACGAAACTGTACACCCCGTTAACGTTTTCCGTCGTGGATGCCCTGCTCACGAGCTTATTAGGACCTCCGATCTGGAGACTTTGGCCGAGCAAGAGGGTATCGGTTGGGGAATCAAAGCTTTGCCAGATGAAACTACCCTTTGCGTCACGAAGCACCATGTTACCATTTGAGAGTATGGCGAAACCTACGACACCCTTATTGGCGGTGTTGGTCTGCCATACAATCCGGCCGTCTGCGTCGGCCAAGACAAGGTTTCCATCGGACCCAAAGGAGAAAGTGGCATTTTCACGAACGGGTTTGCCTCGGTTGGCTTCCCAGACCCAGGGCATGATGGATCCATCACGTCTGGTACCCATGCGTAGACTAAGTGTGTAGGCGTTGGGGGTGGTGTTGTAGAAACAGAGCTGGAAAGGGGTGGTGAATGGAGGAAGAAAGCGGTAGGTTGGGTTGTATTCAGTCTCTAATAGTCCGAAATCGCCACTGTTGACATACCGGAAGGTGTCTGCAGCGGGAACAATGGCGTCGGAGATGGAGAAGAGTGGAAACAGGAAGCAGAAGAAGAAGACGACGACGATAAGCGAGAGAGAAGCAGAAGGAACAGTCATGGTTAATGGTGGTGTGCATTGGATTGATTGCATGCAATGCATATTTATACTACAAAATTGCATGCTTGCTTTGGAGAAGATGATAAAATATGCAGTTTAAAAGTTGATGGTTTTTTTTTATGAACTGGATTCTCTGCGTTTTCTTGTTTTCATATTTAATTTCCATTTTTATCAAATAAAGAATAATGAATTTATAAGAATATAATTAAAAATATTGTAGTTTAAAAGTTTGATATGGTCCTTAAGACAAGGTTTTAGATACAAAGATCCAATGTTTAACTAATACTATCTAACTTGGTACATACTTTAAAATTAGAATAAATTGTCCTTTTTATAGTATATGGGTCAGATTTCAATGGAGACTCGACTGTTTTTATGAAACCCGTAAAAACATTTTTTTTATAATCTGTAACAAAATTATGAACGGAAGCTGGTAATCCGGACCGTTTTTTCATGTACACAACATAGATGATTTTTTCTTGTTTCAGATGTGGTTCGAGATTAACCATGGTGTTCACAACATGCTTACCATGGTATTCACAATGTGTTCACAATACTGATGTGTTCACTATGTTTAGAATATTGTGCTCGCTATGTTCACAACAACTCGTGTTTGTGTTTCATCTTTATGTTGTGGTTCAAGTATCCACTATGTTTATTGGTTTTCACAATGAATCGTGTATGTGCATCGTCCCAATTGTGGTTCGGGTGTTTCGAATGATGGTCTTTCATGTGCACAACATAAATGGTTTTTTCTGCCTTCAAAATTGTGGTTTGGCCGTTCACAGCGTCGGAGTAGGTGGTGTTGGCGAATAAGGAACGTTTATTTTGACAGACGCAAGAAAAAATGAGAGAGAGAGAGAGGTGGCGGGAAATGTGGTTGTTGGGTGAAGCCATGTAATAATAAACAAAAGAGTAAGTGAATTACATTATTGTCCCTATGATTTTTAATAAGAATTTTAAAAAGAAATTATGAAATGACTAAATTGCCCTTCTAATTACCCTACTTAACAAGAATTATCTGCCAGTGTTAGGGCAGAGGGAGCAAAGGCATATGAAAATGTAAACCACAAAGATGTTTTTCATAATTATTTTGATTTAGGAACGCATAATATGATCTTGAATTATTTTATATAATTAGAATGATACTCGTGCAATGCTGCGAGATAAATCTCGATTTCAATGTATGTTTTTATTCTGTCTTTATCGATATAATACGATTTTATGTGGTTTTAAAAAAATGATAATGTTTTTATTTTTGAATGAAATATAAATTTGAAGATACATAAAAATAATTTATTTTTGGTTTAATAATATCATTTTTTATAAAGATAATAATTAAATATTTTATTAAAACTCAATAATTATCTTAATTATATTTTAGATTTTATATATCTTAATTTTCTTTATTATTATGTCCTTTCCATATAAAAAGAACCCGACCCAAACACACAAATGATCACATGGACCCAAACACATAAATAATTTAACAAACACACAATTTCTTCAACTCCTTACTCGGATCACTATTTATGACCCAATTATCGGATGGGTGTTTTGATGTACGCCATATGACTCGAGTTCCCAACTCTCGTCAACGTTTTCAGCTCGTAAGCCATCCAACATCTCGATCGATCCGTGTGATAGAAATACCCCAAGCACTTGCAATCCTTCGTGCATTTGCTCTCGCAATCCTTCCGATTCACCCGACCCATCCCTGCACTGTATTTCACCGTGAAATGGTCCACCCCTTTGAGCTCGTAGTATCTAAAACCACTCGCCTCACATCCCGCCACCTTTGCAACACAATCTTCGCTCCATGCAGAAACACCATTCGGTGTCGGGCATCCGACGCATTGGCTGTTCTCACAAAGCCCAAACTTCCCACACCGATCGGGCAATTGGCAATCATCTTCGATTTCCTCCCCCCTCTCACTCACCCCTCTATCGAACAAAGTGAATAACAGGCTCCAAGCACTTGAAACGGCATTTCGACGATAACTGTACAGTCTTAGGTTCCCATCGATGCCCAACCGGAGATACGAGAACGTGCTGTTGTATCTCAATAAGTTGAGATCTAGAAAAGTTCCGGCATCGGAGTTGGAGAAACGACACACGAGTGCGTTAAAATTGCTATCAACATATTCAGATTCTCCAACTTCTAACGTTGCATTAACCAAATTCCCGTTGGCCTTGTTCACTTGGGTAAAGGAGGATGACCAGTAACGCATGGYCTTGTAATACAAAGCCAATCTTTTAGGCTCTAATACGAAGCTATACACCCCGTTAACGTTTTCCGTCGTGGAAGCCCTGCTCACAAGCTTAGTAGGACCTCCGATCCGGAGACTCTGGCCGAACAAGATGGTATCGGTTGGAGAATCAAAGCTTTGCCAGATGAAATTACCCTGAGCGTTACGGAGCACAATGTTACCATTTGAGAGTATTTCGAACCCAACAACACCCTTATTGGCGGTGTTTGTTTGCCAKACAATCCGRCCGTCTACATCGGCCARAACCAGGTTSCCGTCGGAGCCGAAGGAGARAGTGGCGTTKTCACGAACGGGTTTTCCGCGGTTGGCTTCCCAGACCCAGGGCATGATGGATCTATCACGTGTTATACCCATTCGTAGACTAAGAGTGTAGGCATTGGGGGTGGTGTTGTAGAAACAGAGCTGGAATGGTGCGGTGAAAGGAGGAAGAGGGCGGTAATTGGGGCCGTATTCGGAATCGGCTAGGCCAAAACCGCCGGTGTTGACATATCGGAAGGTGTCGGCGGCGGGAACAATGGCGTTGGAGATGGAGAAGAATGGAAACAGGAAGCTGAAGAAGAAGAAGACAAGCGAGAGAGAAGCAGCCATGGTTAATTGTGGTGTGTATTGGATATGTTGAATGCAATGCATATTTATACTACAAAATTGCATGCTTGTTTGGAGATGATTATAAAATATGTACTTTAAAAGTTGATGGTTTTTCTTGTGAACTAGATTCTCTGTGTTTTCTGGCTTTCCTTTTTATATAAATATGTTTAAATATTTCATATTTTTTTTTTTAAATAATGAATAAAAGTATACAGAGTGTAAATACTTTTTAATGTTTAATGATATATATAGTTAATTAAAAACAAAGTAAGAAAATACTCTTTAAAAATGCAATGAAATTTAAGGTTGTTCAATAATGGTATAATGGACTCTATGACATGTATGGCTAATTCAGTAAGTCATACATAGGTGTTCGAAAATGACTAATAGATTAGAAATGACCTTATTCGCTCAGCCACATTTTTTTTACACTTTTTGCCCTTTCGTAAAACCCACACCCAAATTTTAAGAACCTAGATCATTGTTTCTCCAAACCTTCGTCTCGTCCTGACTTGTTTGTTCCTTCCAATATCCCTCACCCTCAAATCGGCTCCTTGTTCACTGGTGTGATTGTTTGCGGCAAACTCCTCATTCTCTCACGGTCTCCTAGCTTCATTCTATGACCAGGCTCCTTTTAAGGTGGACTCCTGGTTCTCTATCGAGAATACCGGCAGTCTCCTTACCCAGTTCTCCTTCAAGGACACCAACGGTCCTTGTTCATCTTTCCGTTGTCTCCCACCTCTGCTTGCTTCTTCATCTCTTGGGTTTTGGTTTTGGGTAGGTTGCAACTATTCCTGGTTTTGATTTTGGGTTGGTTGCAACTGTTTGGGGTTACGGTTTGGTGGCTGATCTCGATTTGTATCTTGTTTTATGGGGTTATGGTTTGGTGGCAGATCTCGATTTGTATCTTGTTTGCCGATCTTGCTTTTTGGGGTTCTAGTCGTATCTTTGTTTTTTTTTTTTTTTTTTTCTGTTTGTTACATATCTATATAAATTTGCTTCTTGTTCATAATATGGTTCTTGTTTCTTCTTGCTATGCTATGTGTTCTTGATTTGCTTAGGTAATAGATTGATTTATAATATTGTTTAATATAAATTACAGGATAAAATAGTCATTTTTATTATTCAAATGTTTTATTCAGCACAATAATCGAACACCAATTTAAATAAATCAATACAGACGACTTTATTCATATTCACAACTTAATCCATACACACCAATTTTAAATAAATTCTATTTTGCACAACTTAATACAGACGACTTCAAGGACACCAACTTAATCCTATTTTGAACTCAAATTCAAATTCAAAATTCTTATTTCTCTTGAATTATTTGAAATTTGAAGCAACAATGTCAGAAAAGGTTTCAGATCATGCATGTACCTCATCCCAACCCTTCAACTTTATATGGGTTTAGAAACTCAACATGTATGGAATTAGTTTTTCAATCGATCTTGATAATACACTATATTAACCTTCAATTTTATAAAGCAACCTAATTTAATAAATTTTCTTATTATAACATTATACTTTTGTTTTTTCTTTATTACAGTAATGTACTTTTAAATTATTTTTTATTAAGAAATCATACTTTAAAATTTTAACCATAATAGCAATGTACTGTATATCGATGCACATTACTTAAAATTCAAGATTACAAATAAATTATATATAATAAAAAATACGATGTCTTAATAAAAAATAATTTAAAAATATATTATTGTAATAAAAAATAAAAATAAAAAAATTTATCAAATTAAATTGTTATTTCATACATTTAACCCTATCCGTTACGGATCGAGCAGCCGCCACGACTCATGTTGGTGCCAAGATTCGTGTTGCTTCTTATTTATAATGTTTGCTATATTTTTTGTCTTTCTTTTTGGTGCCAACCCACTCAATGTTGTTTCTATCTTTAAATGTAATTAAAATAAAAATATGTGACACGTTCCCTAAATCATTATAATATTTGTTGTATTAAATAAATATCTAACTTTTTTAATAAATAAATTGCAATGGATATATTATCATAAGTCTTAGATTATATTTGACAAACTAGATAATAAATTAACTGTTAGTTGATAAACTAATTAATAAATATATCATGTTTGGTAGAACTAGTTGATAATAATATAAAATTACCAAAAACAACATTTTAAAAATTAATTAATTATATAATATTTCAAAATATAATTGAAATAAATCTCTAATAATATAA